TGAAAACCACAACAAATTCCACCATTTTCAGCTCAGTCCTTGTTAAACTGTCATTCCTGTCCTAATTGGGCTGTTGTCCCCACCCACCCAGCATCTCCTCCGCTCACACAGAAACACACACACACGTTGCCAGCTGAAATGGAGTGAGAGAAAGAGAGAGGATTCATGGGCACCATAGCTGTCAGCACCTATTCCGGTAATGGCTGTTAAAACAGTGGCCTCTACACCCTGTCTGGTCTGTCAGGACTCATCTAGCACGTTAGATTCTCTGAAGAGTGGAGGGCACGACTCTGGTAGCTTGTATTGTTCTCTCTGAGGGGACAGGTAGCAGCAAGGAGGGGCGGGAGGGCAACAAGGTGGGAGGGGCAGAGCGAAAACACTGTGGGGTAGAAGAAGGGGTCAAAGAAAGTCAACAGAATGATGTAAGCTGATAGAAAAAAAGGGCCTGAATCCAAATTCTTTGTACATTCTACATAAATATGTAAACATCATACACAAAAGGTGTTATTGATACACAAAGTAATTATCTAAACAAATAATTTTATCCAGAGATTTTTGTTTTGACCATTCTACAAATCCCAATACAAGCACTTGGGACACTGAACAAAACAAAATGCAGCCGTTTAAATACAGCATAAACAATTTATTCTGAATAAATAAATAATACCCATTTTGAATTTGATGGCAGGAACACGTCTCAAAGGACCATGCTCACCACTGTGTAGCATCCCTTCTTCATTTAAAATCAGGTTTACAGTTTACGGTTGATTCTAATTAGTTTACATTTATTGATTCTTGCGACCACTCAGATGTGGACTGATATTTATTCAAGCAATCTTCATATTTTAGGAGGTTCCATCAGCATATGTTTAACATTCTTTCTTGATCCAGAGCATTATTACCGTTAATGATGACAATGTTTATCCGGCTGATGATACATCACAGGTTACAGGTTATTTTAATGTGTCAAGTACAGAAAGACAGTGATACGTTTTATTGTTGGTTGGCTGCATTGCACAAACTAATGAGAATCACAATTCATTAAAAAGTCAAATCCAGTACAAATGCCATTTTGCTAACATCTGACCAATCATTCTGTGGAGGGACAGACGAACTCACCTTGCTATCGCATAAGTTCATTGGTTGTTAGCTTCAGCCTCAGGTAGTTGGCTAAACGACAAAGCTACCAGATTTTTTTTAAAAATCTTTGTGTTAAATAAATCATTAGACTGGTACAGTTAAGCGGACGATGTTTTTTTTCTTCACTAGCAGGAAGACTCACGTGTTTTACAATTTACAACCTGTCAGCAGGTACACCTTTTAACTCCATCAACAGTGACAGGCTCCACCTGGTGGCACAAATATGTACTACAGCAAATCCACAATAAATTTCCACCCCATGTCCTTCAGCTTTTACAGTTGGTTTTCATATGAACGCACAATAATATTGCTAGCACCATGTTCAGTGATGCACAAGGTCAAAACATCCTATTTCACAGTTTTCTTGTGGTTGCCATGTGAAGGGCATGTCTCCAGTTGTTTAATAATGCAATATGGAGTGCAGCCTTTTAAAAAAATAAATAAATTAAAAATTAAAAAATGTGTGCATGCAGTGCGCAAAGCCGTGCCAAACATTTCACAATCACTTCAAAGGGAAGTCATGCCTGTACAAAAAATAATTAATACACACTATAGCATGTTTGAGCAATTCTATCACATCTTATGGTGAGAGAGGTACATATATATTTTTTACTCAAGGAGCTTTTTCCCCTGATGCTTGAAAGCCAGTGGCATACTTTATTTATTTCTTGTAAGTATAAAGCAATTTCATAAAGGGCAGTGTAATAACTGATTCAGGGAGCTTTATTTTCCATAAAATAATTAAGTAAAGTAAAGGCTGTGAATGGTTTCTAGGATTTATATTATGGTTTGAAATTTTCCCTGGGTAAATGTGAGGGAATTGTAATTGTGTTTAAATTCAGGTCTGTATGTTATGTTTGCTCAATAATATGTTTGAACTTGCAGGTCCCAGCTTCCATTAATTACCAGGTTATTTATCATATTGTTTGGAAAATGTCCCTTGGCGGTTTCTATAGAGCAACATGGTCGAGGGATCTGCTGAGTGTGTAGTGAATACACAAACACCCAACATGTTCCTCCCTTTTGCATAATGCCTTCAACTTTTACATTGAGTGCTTTTGACATAGTAAATTTGTAAGCGCTTTTCTGTTTCTTTTTAACGTTTACCTAACAAAAAAATATTTATTATGATTGAATCAATTTTATCCAGTCAAGAAAACATTTTAGTGGTGATGACTATCCTTGAAAAAAGCCCTGCCATACTTTTATTAGTCCAGTGTATGAGCAAGGTGTTACATGGTGAGGAATAGAACGATGAAGGCTGGAAAGATGACAGAGCCAAGAAAAGCAGCAGGACACTAGAAGGTGAAGCTGGGGAAGGGGTACAAATAAAGGTCACGGTCTGTGAGTGGATGGGGTCGTTAATAAATAGACTAATCCAATAATCTCTCCCAGGGCCACACATGTGGGATGTAAGATATATGGGGATGAGAATGTGTGTGCGAAAGAGGGCAGAAGCAGTGCACGAGCCTGTGTGTCCGAGGGAGGTGTTGGTGAGGATGTGAAGGTCACCTTGGCACGCTTTGGATGCGTGTGTGTGTTTTTGCATGTCAGGTATACAGTTCAGCAGTGGCAGTTGCAAAGGGAGCAGCGATGTGAGTCATGGTTCACGCATGATCCGGCTAACCCCATCCCCCAACACAAACCACCACCCTAAAAAAATAAAAATCAAATAAATAAAACTCACCCTTACCTTATTAAGTTAACGGACAGCAACACCCAGGGCGGTGTATGCGTAAGCTTGTGTGTACGTGTGTGTGTGTCTGCATACAAAGTCTGCCTGTTTGTCTGATTTTCGGGTGAAAGGTGTATGGGAAGACAAGGACAAATACCTTTGGGGGAGATGAAAAGAGCCCAAGGCATGAGCCTACCTCTGAGTGTGTGTGTGTGTTCAAGTGTGACAGAGGGGGCATGTGAGACGAGAGCCAACCGATGAATCCTGAATTAACCTTTTCCTCGCCTCAAGCGGTGAGAGGATGCACACACACATTGATGGGGCTATTACACATGCATGCATATAGCAAGCCTGGCCTATTAGCAGGTCGACAAGTCAACCATTTGCATGGGATTTATCTTACAATAAGCACTGTAATCTCCAACTGTCGTTGCCACCCTCTCTCTGAGCCTTTCCCTTTTAAATGTGCATTAGTCTATTTTGTGTCTGTGTTCTCTGACGCTAAATAATTACCAGGGTGAGTAGGCTAAATGGATTGTCCCAGACCTCACCATCATACCTCTGGGGCCTACGGCAACATCAGCATAAACACACATTAAAGCAAGCCAGAGGTCGAAATATATCAAAACTAGGGGTGTCAAATTATCGCGTTAATTGCGATTAATTAATTACAATGCTATTTAGCGCGTTATGTTTTTTAATCTCGTTAATCTAATTTTTAATCTCTTGACGTCATTGATTTTGTATGAGAGTTGCTATGTTATAAAATCCGTTTTTATGTGCTGGGCTCCTTGTGCTTGACTTGTTGGGGGTGGAGTCACGTCGTGAGGTCAAGGTGAGAAGTGGTGATTAGCTTACAGTGTGGATATGGAGGCGCATCTGAGAGTTGTTGGCCCAATGAACGGGAAATTTGTATTTCATAAACGCCCCGACGGCACCATTGACAAAGGTAAAGTGGTCTGCCTAGAGTGTAAGAAGGAGTTTGCTTACCACCGAAGCAGCTCAAGTTTGGCCTATCACCTCAACGCAAAGCACCCAGCCGCGAGTGCAGCAACAGCTAGCAGTGAAGACGTTAGCAATATAGCAAGCCAGAGCAAAGCTTTTCGCCAAACAAAACTAGAGAATACCCCTCGTATGAGCAAGTCTGCGACCGACAGGCTGACTAATGTTATTGCCAAGTGGATAGCGATGAACTGTAGGCCGATAAATATAGTAGAGGACGAAGGATTGACAGAGGTGTTGCAAATTGCGTCCAATGACCCGTCATACAAGCCGCCGTGCAGGACTACAGTAACGACCAAAATCAGCAAAATGTACGACGGCGAAAAGAAAAACAAACTTGAGATTTTGGCGGAGGATTCTCCCAACTGTGTTGCTATAACCGGAGATCACTGGACCTCAGCTGGCAACCACAGCTATTTTGGGGTGACTGGACACTTTATTGATAGTGAGTGGAACCTCAACTCATTTGCACTGACCGTCATGAGAACAGAAACCAGGCACTTTGCTGATAAATGCGCCGAACAGTTCCTCAAGGTAGCAAATGACTGGGGTATTGAAAACAAGATATCCACCATTGGCACAGACAGCGCAGCAAACATGCTGGCTGCTATGAGAGCACTTCCATATGAGCACATCGCCTGCAATGCTCACATTCTCCAGAGGACCATCACGGCATGTCTCGATAGCAGTGGTTTTGTCGGTGTACTGGCAAAGTGCCGCAAGATTGTTGGTCATTTTAAACAAAGCCCTGCGAGTACCACAGAACTTAACCAACAACAAGTAGCACTCGGAAAGAAGAGCGATCAACTTATACAGGATGTACCCACCAGGTGGAACTCGACTCTCGCAATGGTCTCACGCCTCCTATGTAACCGAGAGGCTGTCCAGGCTACGTTGGACCAACAGAACCACAGGTTGGTCTTGCCAACCGAAGCTGAGTGGGCGAAACTGCAGAGGCTGGAGCTCCTGCTTGAACCATGCAAGTAAGTTCAAATAAACACCTTCCCATTTTAATTATATAAACTACTGTTACATGTGTAAAATCAAAATTAATGAACATAACAAGGAACTTTTAAGGACAATTAAATTGGAAATCAGTTACACTTTGATTTAAATGAATCCAGCTAGGTTTATTTAGCAAACCTCTCCACCTCTGCAGGTATGTGACAGGGCTGCTGGGTGGTGAGGCCTACGTCTCTTGCTCTGTAGTGCTGCCTGCTTTTCGCCATCTGTACCGTGTCATGGACATTACTGATGATGATCCTGCCTACGTGGTGAAGTTCAAGAATGCCTTCCAGAAGGATCTGGCAGCACGACGAGCTAATGGCAACGAGATATGGTTCGAGGTGGCCACAGCATTGGATCCACGGTTTAAGGATTTGAAATGTCTTCCAAGAGAAAAGAGGGAACAGGTAGGACAATAAGGTTAAGCTGGACTAATGAGTCCAATTCATTATCAAATCAAACTTTTATTTATTATATGGAACCCAAAGTTCTTTACAAGATTAAATAAAATAAAAAAAAAAGCACTTAGTTTTAATCACAATCATTCATTCATTCATTCATTCATTCAGGTGTGGACCATTCTGGAGAATATGCTCCAGGCAGCAGAGCCCAGAAGAGCAGATAGTCTCCAGCCCTCCACAGAGGATGATGGACCAGCTCAGAAGAAGAGGAGGAGCGAACTCCTTCTGGGGTCTGACTCTGACTCAGAAGATGGAATTGAGTCTGGAGAGCTGCAGCGCTACAGAGCAGAACCCAGCATCAGTATTGATGACTGTCCCCTGCAGTGGTGGTATGCTCACTCAGGAGTCTATGAAAAGCTGTCAGTCCTAGCACAAAAGTACCTGGCCTCCCCAGCTACCTCTGTACCCTGTGAGAGACTCTTTAGCCTTGCAGGCCACATAGTGCAAAAGAAAAGGGCAGCCTTGCTTCCAGAAAATGTTACCAGGCTGGTGTGTCTTAGCGACTGGCTGAGGAAGAAGAAATGAGACACATGTGGTCAGCATAGCTGCTGTGTCATTTGTAGCCTACTAGAATAGATTGCTTGATGTTCAGCACTTTTTGTGATGGAAGAATACTTTGATGTGCTAACTTGCAGCACTGCAATGTCAGTTTTATTTTTCATTATCTGAAGCAGAGGAATTTCAGTGCTGTATTGCTCAGAAAAGAGCAACTCTGATGTGCTAACTTGCAGCACTTAATTTATTTGATTTTATTTGTATTTATTTTTCCACTTATTTTACAAAAGAATACAACAGTATGTAAATGGTTGCATCTGTTTAACGTTTGTTAAACAATAAATGACTTTATAAAGTCACTTTCTTTGTTATATCAGTCTTTTGGTCTGCCACAATAAGTTGAGGGCTTTCCTCAGCTATTTTTAGGTGAGATTAAAAAAGAGATTAATTAGATCAATTAATTAAAAATCATAATTAATTAATCTCTATTTTTTTTTTAATCTCTTGACAGCACTAATCAAAACAAAGCGCCCAGAAAGCAAAGGCCATGCAAACCTAGTGGGTGATGTGAATGGAAACAATATTAAATGGGCAGTTAAAGTTCAGGCAGTGTCATTGGTCAGAGAATAAGTATATATTATAACCATACTGACAGCTCACATCAAGTGAAATACACTCTACTGCACTTGGTTTTCACTTGTGGGTTCCAAGTAGGTAATTAGTGACGTTTCTTTGTTTACTTTTTACTTTCAGTGTATCTTTACACACACAGAATCTTATCTGGATCTGTCAGTATGCTTTATATTTACTGGAAAATAGCCTTAAAAAAGCCTTTAAGGTAGTCTTTATGTCAGTTATGAGTTCTTTAATAGAAGTTTTGCAAGCCCAAACCACTCAAAGTAGTACTGTTGATTAATATTCTAGATTTGATTATAGGAACTAATTAATATTTAAAAAGACAGACATTTAATTGTGAAAAACACGTTAAAATATATAATAAAAATATTAAAAAATGCTTTCTCTGCGACCTGCTGGAGCGGGGGGGCTAGGAGGAGGAGTTGGCCGTCCGACTGCGGTCTGGAGTGTGGGGCCTCCCTGCTGCTGCGGAGTCGGGGCGGTCTGCCTCCCCCCACCGCAGGGAAAAGGGTAACACCACCTGGGTCTGGGGGCAGTTCCCCCCCCTCCAGGGGCAAGGGTACCTAGACCCGGTTTGTAGAGTACGCTTGGGGAGTGTGATCGTGTGTACAGCATCTCTTTATGTCTGTCTCCACGTTGGTTGAGTGTGGAGTAAGTGCATATGAGAGCATGAGGGTGGGAATGGATGTTTGTATATGTGTGTGCCTGTATTTCTGTGTCTATATGTCAGGTTGGGTGTCAGGCGCCACCTCTCTGGGGACATCTCAGGCCCTCCAAGGTTTGGAGGCCTATCTCCCCCTACCACCACTTCCCCTGCCAGTGGCGGACTCCCTCAGACATCGGTGCGTTGGTGGTTCTTTGTGTCCGGGGGTGGGCGTCCGGGTACACACCGGCTCACTCCTTGGCGGCCGCTTATTGGGGCCTGGAGCCTGGGGCTCGCTCGGGCCACTTCGGAGGTGGGGTGCCCCCGGCCTCTCGGCCTGGGGCTCGGTCACTCAGGCACGGCTGGCTGCCGGCGGAGCTCACGGGCGCGTCACTGCAACTCCCCCTGGCTTCTGCTCCGCGGCTGCTGAGTGAGCCCTCATCTGGGACTCTCCTCAGCTCTTTCTGGGACAGTGGCGCAGCTGCCCCTCTGTTGGTATTCCTTGGTCTCTTGTGTTCTGGATGTTTGGAGTTTTGATCTCCTCCATAACTGCTTCATGCCCTGGAGGACAGGGCTGTGGCCCCCCCACACCCTCTAGCAGATCATTACATGAAGGAACCTTTTAAAAAACAAAAAACAAGCGCGTCCATGCTCACAGGTGTACACACGGGTGATCACACCCACAAACTACACCCTTTTTGGCTCCTACCTCAAAGCACACTGTGTTCTGTTGATCTTATGTGCTGCACAATAATGTTTAATATTTAGTATTTACTGTCATATTCCCATATATCATTGTGATGTTGTTTATTCTATTACTCTTGTTCTCTTCTGCTTGTTTTCTTTTTTCTTTCTCAGCAGGTGACCCAGGTGATTGATATATGCATTTTTTTTTCTCTGCCCGTTCTGTTGGTTTTTGTTTTTTGCCCTTCTCCCCCGTCCCTCTTCTCAGCTGTTTCTCTTTCCCTCTTTCTTTCTCCCCTTCTTTCCCCCAGTCAAGTCTGTCCCGTATTCAGTAAGTGAAAATAAAATAAACAATAAAAGGTGAATCAAATGGACCATTACGGCAAGGCTGGGATGGTCAATTTGGTAAAGTAAATCCATTGGGCATCTTTCTTTGCCTTTAGACAACAATTCTGATGGCAAAAGAGCCAAACGGGACAGGCAAAAAAAAAAAAGAAAAAAAAATATATATAATAAAAATATTAAAAAATGAGATAGAGGCAAAGTTTCTGGCTTGTTAACTGAGTGCTATCCTGCAACAGCACATACTGTGTTGGTCAACTTTGAACAACTGTGTGGTGCACACCTAATGCAGCTCTCACTGCTCCAGTCTTCAGACACATCTCAGCAGGAGTAAAGACACACACAGAGAGAGAGCAGTGAATAATTTAGGTGGCTTTAATTAGAGAACATAAGCTGACGAACTGAAGGTAAAAGGTGTAAACTCAAAACAGTTATCTGGCTCTAACCTTTCCTGGAAGTTTTTTATAAATAAATAATAGTTAATACTAAGAGTAAAGCAATTAAATACATGAGCTAACTTAATGGATGTAAAATAAAACAATTAAAGATTAAAAATATGATTTTGTTGCCAATTTTGACAGCCCTGAAACCCATCATAGTGAATTTTATTTATGTTTACTTACTGCGTAATATAAAATCTCTTTTGTGGAAACTGTAAATAATGCAATATTTGTATTATAAAAGGGTAAATATGACACATTAGTGCTGGTGTATTTGGCTGTTTCTTGCAATTGACAACTTTCTGAAAAATTAGTGTTTCTAGTGCAAATCCTTGACAAACAGTTCACAGTAAACAGGAAGTTATACCCGTAGAGTAAATAACTGATAAATACTATAGTGTGTCTGTGTACCGGCACATCTGGACCAAGATTCAAAAGTAGCTGACTCCTGCTTCTTCATGGAAAACCGTCCAAAGTCCGTTCACCCTGCTGCTAACTGGCAGCAATACAAAGAAGCCGTACAACCAGACCTGCTCAGGATGGGAGACTACTCAGTTCCTCCTGCACACTTCACAACAAACTATTTCTTTATTTTTACATCCTAGTTATTAATTCAGTCATTTATAATCTTCGGCTTTGTATTTGTAGCATATACAGGCTACATCTGCATTAGATTAACTTGTGTTGTATGTCAGCCATCAAAATGATTTTTTTTTTTGTGGGGCAAAAAGTTGCATAGAAGTTTTAAAAGTTGATCTCATATTACCCGTGCTACGAGTGCAGGCTTGCAGTCTCTGCTGGGAGCTGCTTCCCATCATGCGAAGACTTCCCAGATTTTTGCACAGCAGTAGGGCTGCAAAAAATCCCAGCTCAGCTTTTGTCGGCTGATGGCCTTATGTTCCTTCTTTAATTTTCACTTTTTTCTACTTAGCCATTAGCACGCAGTAGTCGAGTTAGAAACCAACACGGGGATCTAATGCTCATCTGTCTGTTTCGGTTCTGTCTGCTGCCTACTTGTGTCTCTATCTCCTGGCCAGCTTGGTGCATCAATTTAATTGCAACATACTGTAAAGTGTGGAAGCCTTCCATCCAGTTTATCAAGTTATATCTCTGCTGTTATCATCCTGTACAGGTCCAATTACAACAGCCAGTCTGAAGCAACTGCTTGGACTCTGCAGCATTTCAACTGACCTGCAGCTGACTGTGTATGAAACAGGCAGTACTGATAAGCAGAGCTGGCAGGTTGATGCATCCAGCTGTTTAAAGAATACAGAAATCTCTTGTTGTTTTACGGTGACACATTCCTAATGCCAAACAGCACACGCTCGTACACAAACTCCCCAGAAACAGACACAGACGCACACACGCATTTTTCATGGATGTTTCTTCGGTGAGAGCTAATCCCCTGCCGCTGTCAGCCGTGCTTTTTGGAAAGCTCCTTACACAAGCCAAAGCTCATCCTGAGTGTGAAATAACACACACACACACACACACACACACACACACACACACACACACAGATTTAAACTTAGGGTGTAAGATTGCACATAAGTTTGCCAAAGTCTTGTCCATCCAGTCCTGTGAAAGGAACAATCATAGAAGATTCCTTTGCACGTTTTTTTTTTTTCATATTTCAACATCCATCCATCTATCCATTCTCCTCTGCTCATCCTTTTTGGGGTCGAGGGGATGCACAAAAATATAAAAGACATTTCATCTTGACAGCTTCTTTTTTTAAGGAAACAGACTTGGTAAAAACATTTGTACTCAAGCCATGTGCCAGCCAGCCAACAAAACCAACTAAAGCAAAGGAAAAAAACGCACTGCCCTCATTCATATCTAAACTAGCAATTCCTTAGAAGTTGTCTGGTCTTTTATTCGTGCTGCAGCCTTGGTGTGTGCATAGAACTGCGTTTGCACTTTTATGTCAGCAGGAAAATACTTTTCAAACGTTTTAGCACAATAAAACCTGAAAGTGGAATATTTTCTATCATACTCAAACCTGATGCTACACTTTTATTGCGAAGGCTAAAATGGTAAGCGTGCTGATGTAGAAACAGTTAGGAGATGTGCGTAACAGAGATTTATTGGTTTCACACACACACACACACACACACACACACACACACACACACACACACACACACACATTCAGGCGGCTGTTTTCTGTTTCATCTGAGTGACTGGGTGAAGGCAGAGGAAGTGAGACTGATGAGGTGGAACCTTCGGTCTTGTTCTCTGTTTCCCAGAGGATCGATAACAGCAGTGCAACAGAGCTGGCAGGACTCTTTTTACAGTACCAGTTTTTTGCTTTCATAGACTCCAGAATTTAGCATGTGCACGCAA